AGCGGTAACCAAGGAAACACTGTATCATTGCTGTTCATAAGCGCAACGCTGCTTTGTTTACAGCGGTAACCAAGGAAACACTGTATCATTGCTGTTCATAAGCGCAACGCTGCTTTGTTTACAGCGGTAACCAAGGAAACACTGTATCATTGCTGTTCACAAGTGCAGCGCTGCTTTGTTTACAGCGGAAACCAAGGAAATTTCATGAGCGCCACCTGCTGTCAGAGAGTGAATCTGCGTCTCATTCAGCTCCTCTGCTGTTTCCTACATGTTTTATGTAGTATAGTTTCACAAAACTAAAAAGTCAGACCTTTCTGTTTTTGCTTCAAATTTCGAGAATTATACAATCTAATTTAGATTAAAAACTGCTCATGTTGCCTGTATGCTGCATCTTTGTTTGGATCGTGATTAAAATGCAGTGGTTGCCTCTCATTTTAAATGGAAAGAGAACAGACAAAGCCTTAGTTTGTTCATATGAAGATATTTATTTCATTTGTGTAACTTACTTGTTTGATTTGGGGTGTTTTAAAATTGAAATTTAGTTTTGTTATATTTTAATTTCACAATTTAACGTGCAGCAATAGCCTAATAAAACGACACCTTTTCATTTACTGTATAATGTCTTCAATCTCATTTTGTTAAAAAAAATCGTGACAAAATCGAATCGTGAAATCAAAATCGTGAATCGAATCGTGAGTTGAGTGAATCGTTACATCCCTATTAGTTTGTAGTTTGTAGACTACATTGACAGCAAGTCATTTTAAAGTGTGGATATATTTAAATAGCATAACTGATATTCGCCAAAGCCGTGAATTTTCCCATGCCGTTTTAGGATTTTATTCATTTTAATTACTTTCTCAGTTACAATTTTAAAGTATGCTGATGTTTACAGATTTTCCGCATCTTCAGTCTGATCTCTGTGCAGATTTCCTGCGACCACGAAAGTTCTTATAGGAGAGAAAATAAATGAGCATATGCTTCATATAGCACACAATTCAGGTCAATTCAATCCATCCACACCTAAATATCGATGACTTCAACAACCTCACACGCCAGACAAATCCTTACATTCAGCAGAGCAGCCCTGCTAAAAACGTCTGATTTAAGAACGTCACATATAACTTCAGACTAGGGCTGAAACGATTCCTCGAATACCTCACGTAACTCGAATACAAAAAATCATTGAGGCAAATTATTTGCGTGTGTTTCCCCACGGATCATTATTACTGACGCACAACCCGATAAACGCTGGACCATAGACTGCAAAAAAAAAAAGCAAGCGGTGAACATATTTAAGACCGTAAATCAATATGGTGGCTAGTTATGATGTCCCTACGTTAGCTACGTTTTTGTGAAAGACTAAGCGCCATTGTGCATAAAAATATCACAGAAAGAAAGAAAGTCAATATCACACGAAGAGTGACAGTTATCACCTCTAAAATCAGCATGATTACAAATGTGATACTGATTTTATGCAACAATTCAATAAACAAGAAGTTAATATTAAGAGATGTACGTTTTAGACACTATATTGCCTGTTTTTGCTTTATTTCGCCAACAAAAATAATCCCAAACACAGCCACAACGCTGTTTTGCGTCTCTGAGCAACAGGACGGTGTTTCGTTCCTGAATGAATCAACCGTTTAAATGATTCGGTTCAGTCGCAATGACTCACTTCTTAACAGTGACTTGCTGCCACCTACTGGCGGTTTTAATTTCACATTTAAAGTATCTTTTCATTTTTGAAATAATTGTAAATATCAGTATTCAATGTTTCATGTTTAAAATAAAATATTATTTATTCATTTGTAACTGCAGGTTAAATGCATTCATGTCCCTCTGAGCTGAATTAAATAGTGTCAATAGGCTTACATCTAAACGCCTCTTCAGATGCAGCTTCTGTGTTTCCTCTGCATTGCACAGATGAATTTTGTTGATACTGATATCATTTGTTTGGTAACAGCCGAAATGTCTTATTATTCTAATTGACTGATTAAATGCAAAAATTTGACTCAAAAGATGATGCACACTTTTAGAAAAAAAGGCTTTATTCATGTAAAAATGCCCATAAAATGTAAAAATCAATTTAAACTTATTGGAACAGATAAATTTCTATCAGTGCTGTGAACTGACCAGTACATAGAATATGAAGGATATCAAAAACAAGGTTTACACACACACACACGCACGCACGCGTGTGCAAGTAGAGAGACATTTAAGAGGGTTTATTCTTCAAATAACTCTAATTTCAAATTGCAGAAAAATGTGTTTAGAAATTGTGTATGGACTCTTGTTCTTGTTCCAAGTTACCTTCCTGTCCAATGATTTTTGCCTTTCACAAAAGCCACAAAGCCTTCCAAGAAGACAGTAAAGGCTTATGTCATGCTTGAGCTTTATTTAGGCTGAAACTTGAAAGTTAAGTTGCATGACAAATGCAATGTTTAGGTTTTTTTTTTGTTTTTTTTACTAATATTTTGATTTATGCCTTAGTTTTAGTTTGTACTGTTTACCTTTTATAAAGTAATGTGAAACAGATTTTTGTATTTTTATTTATTTATTTTATTTTATTATATATATATTTTTTATTATTGATATATTTGTATTTGCATTTTGAATGTAATTTGGCAATTAAATGCATTAAATGGGTTTAGTTTTCACGGTTATTAATGTATGCAATTTCAGCAATAAAAATGCAAATTTTTCTAAATAGAAAACAAATTAGTTGTTTATTTTAAGAGACCTATCTTATTATCTCTTGTATATTTAGTATTGCTCTTTAATAAAGAAAAATAACTTCTTATCCGATTACTCGATTAATCGATGGAATAATCTGTAGAATACTCGATTACTAAAATAATCGATAGCTGCAGCCCTACTTCAGACGCACAATTACACCTCGCTGAGGCTCACTGGGTGCTTTTTCTCTCTTCTGTTTAGTGTGGCTGGTGCATCCGGAGCAAAGCGCAGCTGTGTGTAAGACATCCCGCCGCAGGAAAACAGCAGCGCAGATGGGCCTGCCCTACAATCAGAGCCGAGACGAGCAGTACACTACTGTTAAACCTGCTAGCACACAACCAAGACCTACTGCTCGCCCAAAACAAAACCATTTAGTGTTACCAAACATGATCAATTCAGTGCAACCAACGAAAATCACGGAGAATCCGGAGGCTGAAGATGCATTTTGAGGCAGTAGAAACCAAAAACTGTTATACTTGTCGCAAATATCAAACGGTAACACTTTAGCATAGGGACCAATTCTCACTATTAACTAGTTGCTTATTAGCATGCCTATTATTAACATATTAGCTGTGCATTAGTACTTATAAAGCACATATTCTGCATGACCATATTCTACATCCCTAAACACCTAAACTTCACAACTACCTTACTAACTATTAATAAGCAGCAAAT